GGGCCCCCCCCCCCCCCCCCCACCCAAAAAAAAAAAAAAAAACCAGTGGTATTCCTATATGCTGGCCACAAATGTATTAAAACATTATTTACAATAACATCAAAAAACACCAAATACCTAAGAATAAGAAAGATGTGCAAGACTTCTACACAGAAAACTACAAAACATTACTGAAAATTTTAAAGACCTAAATAAATGGAAAGATATATACCATGTTCATAAATTAAAATATTCAACATAATTAAAATGTCAGTTCTCCCCAAATTAATATACAAATTTAATTCCAATCCCAAAATTTGTAGAAATTGACAAGTAGATTCTGATATGAAAATACTAAGAGCCAAGAAAACTCCAGACAGTTTAAGAAACAAAGCTGTAGGACTTATACTACCACATATCAAGGCTTATTATAAAGTAACATTAATACTGTAATATCAGTGCAAGGATAACAAATAGACAAATGAAACAATAGAGTGTCCAGAAACAGACACACAATTATACAGTCATCTGATTTATGAAAAAAGTGCCACACAGTGCAGAAGGGCAAGGATGGTAATTTCAATAAATGGTACTTGGTCAAATAGATATCCACATGGTAAAAAGTGAATCTTGACCCCTACAATCTATCTGGAATTTACTGTAAATTGTACACCTTAAAAGAGAAAAAATAAAATTTCTATAAGGTAACACAGGAAAATATCTAAATATTCTTAGGCTAGGAGTAGATTTTTAACACAAGACACAAAAGCAGCAACCATAAAAGAAAAAATTTTAAATGTATATTTCATTAAAATTAAGAATCTCAATTCATCAAAAAACTCCTCTAAAAGAGTGAAAAGAGTGAAAAAAAGAAATGTAATATATGTACATATTCCAAAAGGACTCATATCCATACTAAGGATTATAAATCAATAGAAAAATAAGAATACCAATGAAAACTGGGCAAAAAGACTTAACAGGCACCTCACAAAGGAGGACATATAATTGGCCAATAAAAGATACTCAAATGCAAAATAAAACCACACTGATACATATTACTGCACCTCTACCAGAATAGCAGAAATTTTTTAAACTGACAAGCATCGGCAAGGATGTGGGGTATATGGAATATCATTCCCTGCTAATTGATACAACCACTTCGGGAAAGTGTTCAACAGTATCTAATACTAAAGTTTTATCATTCACATACCTCAAAAACCGACAATTCCACTTCTTGGTACATACTCCAACCTAGTAATGTTGAATTTCTTGATCTGTGGTGGTTCACTTAGTAAAAGTCCATTGTCTGCACACTTTGAATTGCGAACTTTTTCTGTATATTATACTTCAATGAGTTTTCTAAGATTTCTTTGACACAAAATTCTCAGAGATCTTAAGGCTAGCATTTTGGAATAGAAAAAGAGCTTCTGATACACTGCAGAAATTTTACTAATAAAATTAAAACACAATAGAAAGCTACTAACATATCAAACCAGAACAAAGATAAAGACTACCAACAGATCATTTTTCTTTAACTTCATGAACCACTAGAATTCATTCTTTCAGCAAAGAAAAGAATTTTTTAGCCTACACGGTAACCCGAAGAAAAGATATTCTTGCAAGAAAATGCTGCTGCCTTTCGAAATCACCTCTAACAGCGATAGATAGGAGGAAAGCGAAGGAAGCATTCCAAAAGTTTTGGTTAAGTCTTCGGTGAAAGGATGCCAACTGAGATGATCTAAGATGCCCAAAAGTCAGACAGAAATAAATCACAGCAACTCTTAAAGCAAACACCAACCACAATCCAACCTACCGGAAATCCTGAGGCTAATTTGAGGCTTGCCCCGCTAGTCATAAGATGATTCAGCGATGGCTACAAAACGCTCAAGTGCATTTTTTGGAGTCACCTGGCACACCTGGTTTGCCCATCATCTGCCTGGAGACACGGCCATGCGCAGAATCCCGGAGGCCAAATAAAGACGCCAACTTTGCAAGTCAGGAGAGCGGGTGGTCTCTGCCCTCAGGTCACCTAGAGGGAATTGACTTCTAGCCTCAAAGGCGGGGGTGAAGGGTCAGTATCCCCCACATGATTTAAGAGGAAGTGCCCCCCGAAGCCTCTCCGTCCCTGCACCTTCCTGGGACTCCACAGGAAGACCCGGCGGCGAGCTTCTTCCCCGGCGCCCACGGGAGGATGGTCGCGGGAGGAGGCAGCAGGCGAGGACACTAGCGCAGAGAACTTAGGCCCCAGCGGGGCCGGGCGCTCCCACCCCGCTCGCGCGACAAGTTTGGCGGCGGCCCTCGCCCGCCGCGCGTTGGCCCAGCTGTGCGCCCCGCAGAACCCGGGCTCCCAGCCAGACCAGCCTGGCGCGGCGCCCCTCACCTTGGAAACGTTGGGTGGACTTCGCGGTAAACATTAACTTCCCATCCAGCCGGCAGCCGCGCCGCCGCGTCTCAGCGCCTCGGCCCCGCTCCCGGCTCCGCGGGCCGCCCTGCCCGTGTTCTCAGGCGCACCGCGCTCACGCAGCAGCTCCGGGCCTTCCCCCGACCCTCACCCACCCCTCTGCGCAGCCCGGAGGGCTCAACGACCGCCCAGCCCCTCGCCCGACCGCCAGCCAGACAGCTCCTCCGGGGACCGCCGGCCGCGTCAGGAAAGCCCAAGGCGCAGGCGCGCTAGAGCCTTAAAGAGACCCGGCCGCCTCTACCGCATACTGGGTTAGAGCAGGTTAGGGGCCTGGCGGGCCGGCAGAAAAAAAGAAGTTGAAGGGATTGGACCGAGTGGAGTGGGGGCGGGGAAATCCCTCTGTCGCCTCCGCCTCCTTTTCAAAGCACCAACCCTCGGTCCTGCAAATTGCTGACTTCTCCAGTCACTTGAACCGCCCCTTCCTTGTTAAAGCTGCAAAAGACACACCCCCTAGGGGGCCCGGGCGACCCGGTGCTTGGGGCTGCTGACCTCGCATTGCAGCACAGCCCACGCGCCTGTCCCGTAGGCCGGGGGCACGCGGTGCAGACGCGCTGGCTTCGAAAGGTCGCCCCGAGCTCCCCAGAGAGGTGGCCTTAGTTCACTCTCAAAAATAATCAACGTGTAATGGCACTTGTGATGGTAAAGCACTTTTCCATCAGTCGTCTAGACACACTGGATTTATGCAAAGTCCGGCATGGGGCAGAACATGGGCACAAATATGTGAGGTCTAGCCGGGCAGCCATCCAACATCAACCAAGAAATTCTTAGAAGGAAAGCACTTAGTTTGGGACAGAAAGAGCCTAATGATTCTAGTCCTATCCCACGAAAGGCAGGCAAGAAAAATAATAAAGGCAATTTAAATTACTTTCATTATACATTTAGATGTGACAAAAATGATAGTAATTATCAACACAAAAAATTCCAAAATTATTTGTCTAGAAATTAGATATCCCTGGTGATTTTCTAATTTAAATTTATAAGACAGAATTCCCAGAAGGGGTTTCATTGTAACAAGCATTTCAGAAAAAGAGAAACTTTTTTTCAACGAGATTAGGAAATACCAAGAAATAGGAAGTAAAGCCATGCCCTTCCCCCAGCTAAAAACTTTGAAAGCTTGAAAATTTATCTGAGGCAAATTTTGGCGTAACTTTAGGTAATGCCATTATTTAAAGTCAATTCCAAATAACAATTTCATTGCAACTGAATCCATCTTGTATAAGAAAACTAGAAGAGAAAAATAAAAAACAGAAAAAGAAAACTAGGAGATGCGCTTAACTACCTCTCCCTCCTATATTCAATCTATCAGCAGATCCTGTTGATATCTACCTTTCAATTTTTCCTTGAAACTGTCCTCTTCTCTCTCTTTCATCACCTCCCAGTCTAAGCTACCTTCACCTGGGGTGTGAGGGTGGACAGACTACTGACCTAGTCCTTTTTTTTTTTTTTTTTTAGCAGCTGGCTAGTCAATGGATAGAAGAACCCTGGACCTTGGTATAGTCTTCTAATTGGTCTACCCATATCCCCTCTAGCCCCTTTCTAATCTCTTCACACAACAGGCAGAGTGACTTTTTCCAAATATAAGGTGACCTTGTCACTTCCTGGCATAAACCACTTCAACAGCTTCCCATTCTTTAAGACAAAACCTCCTAACAAGCCTCACTGCTCAGACCACATTTCATCTTACTCTCTCTGCTCTAGTCACACTGGCCTCTTCCATTCCCTGCTACTTACCAGCTTCCTCTCTCCAAAGAGCAAAAGCAAAGAGCATGCTTTGCGTTATGCCTGGAAAGTTCTTTCAACCTTCATCCTTCTGACCTCAGCTCTAGTCTCTACCTCTGTGAAGCACCTTCTGACCTCTTAACTTGGTCCCTTACTCCTAACATATTGTATGAAACTGTAATTGTATTACTATTTTTGGTGAATTTTTGTTTCCTTCCTAGACTATTAGCTCCATAAGTCCAGGAGCTTGGTTTTGTTTGCTTCATGGTTGTATTCCATAGTTGTTCAATGAATGAGAATCATCGATGCTAGAACTTGAACTAGATGTGGCTTAAAGGTTACTTAAGTCACAGAAAGGGGAAATGTCACAATTTGACATTTGGAATCAAAGTCTAAAAAGAGCTCCAGTTGTTTTTAAACTGATTTTATATTGTTTTAGGTAGGCTGTCACAAAATTCTTTGGGTAACCCTTAAAATTGAGTTCTCAAAGCACCTCATATAAACCCCTAAATTAATGTTGATAGCTATGGGATGGTCCACATGAAAGTAATAACATGGGTTGCTTCAACCGAGAAAGACTGGGTGACTGAGTGACAGGGTGAAAAGGAGACTTTTTACTGCATGCCCGAAAGGTTTAAAATTGTACCTTTTCAATTTTAAAGCATGTTAATGTATTACCTATTTGAAAATAAATGAATGACACAAGAGTGCACACTGTATAATTTTATTTATTTGAAAGTCTAGAAAAGGCAAAACTAATCTGTGGTGAAAAAAATAACAGTGTTGCTTCTGGCAAGGGATTGACTGGGAAGGTACATGAGAGAATTTTCTGGGTGATAAAAATGGTCTAGGCCCATTCAACTCCCACCAGACCAAAAAAGAAATGTCTATATCTCGAAAGGGGTATGAATTACGTAGGTGTATTCATTTGTCAAAAAATGTACAGTTAACACTTCAATGAATGTAAATATTACCTAAAAAACTATAAAAATAAATGAAATTTTGAAAAATAATAATAGCTAACATATAGTTGAGCACTTACTGTATATGGGTATTGGCTAAGAGCTGTATGTATACTACTTCTTTTAATCCTCATACTATTTTCATGAGGTAGGTGTTATTATTATAAACCCCTTGCAAATGTGAAAACTGAAATTTAGTAAATATCATGCAACTTGCTTCCATTTATACCAATTGAAAATAGCAGCAGAACTTTGAACATAGCCAAAGGCCAGAAATGTTTAAACACTAAACTTTATAGCACTTCTCTGAAACTGTAATTTTTTGGTTTATGTATATTACTCACCCCCTAGATCAAGAGCTTCACAATGATTGAAACCATATTTGTCTTGAGCTTCTCAGTAGCCCCAGCACTTTGCATAGCAGCTGTTCAGTGTATTTTGAATACATGATTAAAAACAAGCCTGAGGCCGGCCTGTGGCTCACTCGGGAGAGTGTGGTGCTGATAACACCAAGGCCACGGGTTTGGATCCCCATACAGGCTAGCCACCAAAACAAATACAAGCCTGGTGTTG